AAAGTGCATATACAGAATAAGGTTTTAAGAAAACTAATAACTATCTCTTTTACTGTCTGATTTTCTTATACGATGCCTGCCACATAGTCATAATGTAAAAGTCCGAGTTAGCATGTTATCGGTTGTCGTAGTAGAATAGCTAACCCAGCATAAATGGTTGTGGACAGAATAGGAGAAGCTTCCGCTCAACGGGCTCCCGTGTCTAGTAGAAGAGGATCACCAATATCTCCAGGCAGGAACCTAGGTATATTAACGTTAATAGAGGAAAAATTAATTGGTGAATCATAGTAAGACATTATCCTTGGTTATCTTAAAGGACTACCAGGAAGTCACTTAGACTAGCTCAGTTGTCAGCAAACTGCAGCGTTTGACAACTCTCAGGGAGTAGAAGTTGCATCTACAGTTCGTTCTGCTGTATTGTGTCTCTGGTTTCTGGGTGTTACCCCTTAGGTTTGTGTTGGAGCTAAACTTGAGTAGGTGTTTAAGGGGATGTCCTGAAGTGTTAAGTATACTGTAAGTTATTAGAAGGTCACGTCCAAGACGCCTATACCCTAATGAGTAAAGGTTTTTGAGGATTGGAGGCGCTCTTCACAAGGCTTGAACTTGAGTCCCCGAACTGATTTCATGACTTGCCGTTGTATACGCCCCAGAGTGTGCTTATCCTTTTGAAGTGAGGGAGGAAATACTTTAAACTTTGTAGTGCTAAACGTTAAGTTCATTATCATCTACCCAACTCTGAAGTCGAGTCAGATCTTCCTGTAGTGCTTGTATATCTTCTCGGTTGCCTAACTCTCTCCAAAAATTCACACCATCAACAAAATGTAACGTCAGACGATACTTGTTGTGGAAGATCGTTTATATGAATCAAGAAGAGATACTAGAACTGAGCCCTGGGAGACCCCACTAGGACAGTCCATAGCTTGAAAGAAAGTGAAGTTAACCCTGACCTTCAAATATTTATTTTTTAGATATGAAAAGGGCCAGTTAACTAGAGGTGATTTGATGCCCAATCGTTTGAGCTCATCGATAAGACATATATCGTTGACCCTATCAAAAGCTTTTGATAAGTCAAGGTAAATGACGTCAACCTTAAGCTTACGATCAAGGATGGTTTTCCATCTGTCCACTGCAATCAGCAGGTCGGTTGTACAAGAATGACTTTTCCTGAAGCTATGTTGTTGGGGTGAAAAGAAGTTTAATGATGATAAACAACCATGTATACCGTCGCATATCAGAGACTCCATAATTTTTGAAGGTATAGAGAGAAGAGACACCGGTCGGCAACTTAAAGGTTCACTGCGTCGAAATCTTTCGAAAATTGGTGTGATATGAGCAAGCTTCCGAATTTCGGTGGTTTGCCTCGGCTTAGAGAGTGTGAGAACACCACGTTAAGCGGTGTTGCCAGGATTGAAACTACTTCCCTTAGCGTGACAAAATGAACCATATCCGGGCCGGGAGAAGTGTCTTTTCTTAGGTGCTGAAGTTTCCGGTACGCCAAGTCAGCGCTCACGTTCACTTCGAAAAGTCTTGTGCAGTTTCGGATGAAGCTCTCACCAATATAATTAACGTGGGTTGGTTGAAATGTTTGAGAGTATTGCTCAGCCAAAAGTTTAGCGGCGTCACAAAAAGTTGCTATTCTCCAATCAGCTGTTACATGTGATCACGTTCTTGGAAGAATCATTTTTATAGCCTTTCAAAGCACTTGTATCTGTTCATTATAGTAGGATTTAAGTGAAAATATTTCAGATCTATTGGTATCCATTTGGGAGCAAAAACGTCCTATATTTATATTGAGTATTACTAGCATTTTGTCTTTCCTTGGTGAATAATTTTCCCAACTCACCTGTCCTACTTTGCATATAATTGATTGATCTGTATTGTACTTTTTCGGATTGAAGCACATGAATTTTTTGTTGATAGAGTCTTGTATTCCCGATAAGTAGTTGACATTTAAGTTCCTTACTTTCTACATAGCCCATTTCTGAAAACTAGTTATGTATATTGTGTAATTCATACATTTATACCTAATTCATATCAAATTGGTGTAACATTGCATAACAGAATTACTTTGTTTTGAATAAATAGATTGGTGTGCTTTTTGTAGGTTTGGGAATTCAAGCTTCTAAAATGTAACAACAGGCACATACACTAAGTTATCAGCTTTATAGATTTGAACACTACTTGGTTTAATTTATACAAATATGTCTGCGAATCAGCTTAAATCGTAAAAAATTTAATTTTTGAATAAACCTGAATCTACTTTTCTCGGTTTCTACCTAAGAATTCCGATTCAAAGTTTTCCCATTGAAGTGACACATTTCGCTTCGTTATGACATATCTTATTGGGTAATGTTTATACTTCAGCCTGAGCAATATTAGAACAACGAAATCTCAGTTTGTATTCCCGGACAAATGAATGAAATACATGCTGGTGCTGCACGATAACGAGATTAGAAGCTTTGTCGTTGTGATAGTATTCTTTACTCTCAAATTATTTAGGATCCCAATTTGTACCGGTGCATATTAAAAATGTGATCTAGTTTTAGTTACAGTGCATTGAACACTAGCAATTTGTATCAACCTGTAGTACTGGGATAATTTTTGGGATTGAGTGAGCTTATGACACGATATTCGGGTCAGCTGATAGATTATAGTGCTCATGAACTGTTCAGTAATTTTCCTGAGTATGCATTGTAAGATCGTACACCATCATATCTGTTTGTTGTGTTATTTAGAGTTTTAGTTTCGAATTTTCATAATTGAACTACTCATATTTTGCCCTCTGGATCATAATTTGGCATTTCATGAAAAATTGTATACATTTTACTGATCCGAACAGAGACTATTGAAGCGAACCGGGCTTGCGATAAGTCTTCATTTCAAAATATTTTAGATTATTAACGTGTAACATCTGGATACTTCAATCTGGATGCTTCAATCATTTCTAAGGTAAAATCCTGTTTTGTATCTTTCGCCTAGGACCCGTCAGATTAATGTAGATGATTCAACACAAGAGATCGCTCATAATGATAGATCAATGCTTACAGATGGTGGTAATTGAGCACTTCATCAGAGATACAGGTACAGTATCGCCATTCTGCTCCCTTTGACTTGAGCTCTGGTCTACTCATGACTACTGGAATATATTTTGGACTATCGTGATAACTGAAAGTAAGAATATTAAATTCCATTATATTCCTTCTAATTTTCATAAAGAATTATAGCAAATCTCATTAGGAAAAATTCTAGATTCTGTCTGACAAACTTTCGTTCAAGAAAACCCAAAAGACATGGGAAACATGAGTAGTGGGCACGTCCTCAAAGTTCGTGATCGAGGACCTCGCTCCAAAGATGGAACAACAAGTGGAAACGCAACCATCGACCATGACTAACGAGAAATGAACGACCGTCCATGTTTGTCATTAGAAGCCTGTGTTAGTCATAATGGCATTTTGGGTCCTTCATGAGGTTATAGTGGTTCTGTAAACGGAGGCGGATATGGTGCATTCAAGAACCAGAAATGTAGAGGCATATATTAAACTGGACAGGGAGGTTTCGGTGAACTTGGACAAGGTGAACAGGGAAACATGACTTCTGGGGGATACGGTGGAAGTCAATGGGAATACGGTGACACAAAGAGAGGTCGAAATCCTTTTCGCATCAGTTGTGGAGGTATGACATTTGAATGACATGTCGGAGAAAAGGTCGACCAGTGGAATGTTGGTTTGTGCTAAAAACTTCCTTGAATTTAAATTTAGTGAAATACACGAAAGTAATAGTTTGAAAAATCTGGAGCTAAGACAGTCTGACTCCAATCGATCTTGTGTGCATTATCCGAGTAAACCCAACAATAATTTACGGAGATAAAACCACTAACAGCAGGTAATATTGAGCGCGAACAAATGCCAAGATGACCGATACAATTTCCTTGGACAGTTGACAAACACATCGATCAATAAGAAAAGAACTAATTAGCGACCAACTGATGAAATATGAGGACGAAATAGTTCAACAAACAACGGATCACAGACCCGTCTAATTACAACGACTATAAGTAAAGCTTTGGTCGATTATCTACTTAGTCACTGCATTGACATTCATTTGATTAAACAGTAGCCGACTCATAGTACATACAACTAGATTTCCAGAAACTCAAAAATCAAAACATTTGGGTTTACAAAGCGATATTTTCAAAGAGCATAATCCGAAGGCAATGAATTAATTCATGATGAACGAAGAAAACCAAAACTATTGTATTTTAAAGTGTTGTACAATAACCAGAACACGATTGTCTAATAATAAAGTATCCAGATATTGAAGGATATTGGATGAATTAAATGGTCTTCAAATGAATAATATAATTTCCCTCATTCTTATTATGGGATAATCATAAAAACAGAGATGTAGAATTAATATGGTGAGAAAGTCAATTTTCGATTGATTTACTCAATATGAGTTTTTTCATCACTACATCCGTTTTGATTCAATGTAATGATTACGCAATGTAGTATTTGTTTTCTTTTCTCATATGATATTTTATTCTGTATAATATACGATATTCTTGTATTCCATTGATCTGAACTATGCTCCGTATATGATTTGTTATAACTCTGAGTATTTTTTACATATGTGATTTCATCCTAATTATTAATCAAAATGGGTGTACAATCAACGTATAAATGAGTGTATTTTCTACTAGATCATCATCGTCATCGTAGTCGTCATCATACTGTTTTGGGGCCAATAAATCTTTACTTATACCAGACTGTGAGTTCTTACTTTTGCGTCGTGGGGATTGCCGAGGTCCCTCGTTCCAAGTATAAAAGATCAGCGTTTTTCCGGCACAGCAATTAGCGACGACCAAACATAACAAGAATGGTTAAAAAAATTTAAAACGCTTATGCCATTCAAATGTATACAACAACACGCCCTGAAGCTAAAAAATAAAACTGCTAGTGGCTCAGAATTACAATGGAAATTGACTACCGTAAGACATTAAATTACTCTGATGATTTGTGACCAGATTTAACGGTCATTTGTCTGCGAACACTTCGTGTCATATTTGCTTCGGACCAACCGACTTCTAGTTCTTCCATCTGTTTACCTGGGTTAGTGAACTTTAGGCGATCAAGTTCTCGACTATCAATCGAAGGAGTGACAATAATACCGTCCGGATCGTCAATATGATTTTTACTAACCGGACTGCAATTTCGGTGATCTCCGGAACAGGATTTACGAGCTTTGGAAATCCGTTTAGACGATAACTGAAGTGGTAGATTCCCTGATGGCGAAGGAAATTCCTCATTGGATGCCATAGTCCTAAAAAGTGAAATAAACACGCATTAAAGTTTCTAACAGATCCTGAAAATAAAAAACATACATATGGCTAACTTACAACTAGTACTTGACTAGATTAAGTTTCGAAATAGAAGAAACGTTATTTCAATATCTTGGTGACAATATCAAAGCAGGATCAGCTAAAGGCTCCGACTGCTGATTCACATAAACTTATTCACGAGAAATCTGATAAGACAAATGAACCAGCTTTACTTGTTAGGTTGGCAATATTCAATCCAAATAACCTGATGCTTCTCTTAGTGCAAAATATACTCGTTTAACAGTGAATAATCCTGTTGCTAAGTCTTTAGTGGAAGGAATTGAAGAATACCGAGTGTACGAAATCTTGAAGTGAAGTTAAACCGCGAACTGAAACTTTAGTCAACTAAATGTTGGTCATTTACAGTACACAGAGGTTAAGAAAACAGGATTAATCGTATTCGACTAAGAGAAAAACAACATATATAAGCGAACAATATTGTTTTCGATTAGATCCTCATCCGGCTTTACTCTAATATACAGTAATATTTATATGCATATACGAAATTATTAAACCAATCAAGGTAGTTTATAAATCAATGATAACGATGAATAAAACGATTACATAATATGTGAAAAGTACAAATAGATAGTGTAATGACAGGTGTACTAGTTTTTATAAGAATAATAAAGGCTCAACCTCTGTCTATCGTATTCGACCCGATCTATGGTGATTCCCCAACTGAAGGACAAGTTACCTGGTTACGCCACTTCTATGTGTATCTACGAATTCAGCTGCTCCTGCGGAGAAAGCTATATTGGGCGCACAACCAGGCAACTGAACCAAAGAGTTAGTGAACACCTCCCATCGTGGTTAGGAAAAGGTTACGTAAAGACAATACGCAGCTCAGTTCTTTCACTTAATCGATAGTGGTCATGTAGTGGACAGAAATAAGTCATTTAAAGTTATTTATCGTATTCCCACTAATTTTCCCTATGGTGTTCGATCTCGTCTCATACACATAGCAGAAGCTATAGGAATTCGGGCCAACAAGCCGAGTCGTTGTGTTCAGAAGAAATTTGTAACACCCTTATCTCTCCCTTGGGCTTAATAAATGAATTTATTTATTATTTTCTTTTCAAACCTTCTCTTTGTTTATTAATTCTTCTTCACCCCCTCCTACTATTTTATTTTTATTTTTTCACGGTTCAATTATCTGAACACTTCTCGTTACGTCATCTTATAATAATTTTTATAAATGTTATCTCACTATCTATATTTTTCTAATCATTGACCTATTTCCGATTATGTAACGTTGATTTGAGCCTTTATTATTCTTATAAAAACTAGTACACCTGTCATCACACTATCTATTTGTACTTTTCACATATTATGTAATCGTTTTATTCATCGTTATCATTGATTTATAAACTACCTTGATTGGTTTAATAATTTCGTATATGCATATAAATATTACTGTATATTAGAGTAAAGCCGGATGAGGATCTAATCGAAAACAATATTGTTCGCTTATATATGTTGTTCTAGATTTACATTATGGGAATATTTCAAATTTTAAGAGAAAAACATCTATTGGTTCTAATGGTACTAACGTTAGTGTACCTCAAAGTTTTATTCACAGAAGATTTATGTTACTAAAAGAGGGTTGCTTTGCAAAGTCAAATTATTTTGAAGATAAGTTTTATTAAAATTATAAGTATGCGTTTAATCTTGATTTCAGACTTTTAAACAAATTCAATTTTAGAAGGTTTGAGAGGAGATGAATTCTGATGGCCGATGGTTCCCAGCTTCAGTTGATAGCGTACATGGTCAGAAGTCCCAAATTACGATGAAATAATTGTTAAGCGGCCCATTTAACGGTATCGTTTTGGAACAGCACGATAGTCCTGTAGAGCATTCTTTCATACCACGACACTATGTCATACGCCAACCACATATCCGCTCTTTCCAACAAGTCTCAGCGTTGGCAAATAATTCTCTAGGACGACATTCGTAATGCATATACAAGCCACCGAAGTCGCTGTTTCAAGATGGTGACACCAACTGGATTGTTGTCACTGCAATCGGACACACATCCCCGAACCTCTGTGTTTCTAGCATGGTGTTGCCACTAAATATCAGCAATCTTTAGAGACAACGATAGTCACTTAAAATTCTCAATTCGGAAGCCAGGTTTCACAACCATACAGCAGAACGCGTTTTAAACCCAACCTTTTACAACAAGACCAGCATCATGAAGGCACCAAAGATGCCCCAATTTGAGATAAGACACTCTGTATTTCACTATACGTAAATTAGTATCATCACCTGAACTTAAACAGCTACCCGAATTCACGGACTTCTCGACTACGTCTAACCGCCCACTTCCAAGAGTGAGTGCAGGTACAAGTTACTGTCAGTCCCGTAGATGTGTTTTGCACTTAGGTGCAGAGCACGTACCATACCTACAGACACTCCCAACCAAGTGCGGATCGCATGGCATGGGTATCCTCGCACAGTAAGACTACATCATCTACATACTCAACGTGGAAGTCTTTCTTCAGGTAACAGATACGCACCACTACTACATACTTCTATCAGAGCTGTTTCTAGAATGTGACTTTAGGCAGTTGGACATGAATAGTGAGATTGGGCAACTCTGTCTAACTCAACTACTCGGATGGAGTTAGGTGGGGAGGTGGTTGTATGCCTTCACAATGACTGAGGTGTTTCTACACAGTGTCTTCAATATGTTAATGAGCTTCACAAGCACACCCTTCTTCAAAAAACAGTCACAGAGGACATTCGTTTTCAACAAGTAAACGGCGACCCTAATATCAGGGAAAACAACGTTGCTTCGCCTTCAATAAGCACGGCAGTGATCTGACATTTAGCGGAGCATGAACATATGATCAACACTTCGTGTCATATTTGCTTCGGACCAACCGACTTCTAGTTCTTCCATCTGTTTACCTGGGTTAGTGAACTTTAGGCGATCAAGTTCTCGACTATCAATCGAAGGAGTGACAATAATACCGTCCGGATCGTCAATATGATTTTTACTAACCGGACTGCAATTTCGGTGATCTCCGGAACAGGATTTACGAGCTTTGGAAATCCGTTTAGACGATAACTGAAGTGGTAGATTCCCTGATGGCGAAGGAAATTCCTCATTGGATGCCATAGTCCTAAAAAGTGAAATAAACACGCATTAAAGTTTCTAACAGATCCTGAAAATAAAAAACATACATATGGCTAACTTACAACTAGTACTTGACTAGATTAAGTTTCGAAATAGAAGAAACGTTATTTCAATATCTTGGTGACAATATCAAAGCAGGATCAGCTAAAGGCTCCGACTGCTGATTCACATAAACTTATTCACGAGAAATCTGATAAGACAAATGAACCAGCTTTACTTGTTAGGTTGGCAATATTCAATCCAAATAACCTGATGCTTCTCTTAGTGCAAAATATACTCGTTTAACAGTGAATAATCCTGTTGCTAAGTCTTTAGTGGAAGGAATTGAAGAATACCGAGTGTACGAAATCTTGAAGTGAAGTTAAACCGCGAACTGAAACTTTAGTCAACTAAATGTTGGTCATTTACAGTACACAGAGGTTAAGAAAACAGGATTAATCGTATTCGACTAAGAGAAAAACAACATATATAAGCGAACAATATTGTTTTCGATTAGATCCTCATCCGGCTTTACTCTAATATACAGTAATATTTATATGCATATACGAAATTATTAAACCAATCAAGGTGGTTTATAAATCAATGATAACGATGAATAAAACGATTACATAATATGTGAAAAGTACAAATAGATAGTGTAATGACAGGTGTACTAGTTTTTATAAGAATAATAAAGGCTCAACCTCTGTCTATCGTATTCGACCCGATCTATGGTGATTCCCCAACTGAAGGACAAGTTACCTGGTTACGCCACTTCTATGTGTATCTACGAATTCAGCTGCTCCTGCGGAGAAAGCTATATTGGGCGCACAACCAGGCAACTGAACCAAAGAGTTAGTGAACACCTCCCATCGTGGTTAGGAAAAGGTTACGTAAAGACAATACGCAGCTCAGTTCTTTCACTTAATCGATAGTGGTCATGTAGTGGACAGAAATAAGTCATTTAAAGTTATTTATCGTATTCCCACTAATTTTCCCTATGGTGTTCGATCTCGTCTCTTACACATAGCAGAAGCTATAGGAATTCGGGCCAACAAGCCGAGTCGTTGTGTTCAGAAGAAATTTGTAACACCCTTATCTCTCCCTTGGGCTTAATAAATGAATTTATTTATTATTTTCTTTTCAAACCTTCTCTTTGTTTATTAATTCTTCTTCACCCCCTCCTACTATTTTATTTTTATTTTTTCACGGTTCAATTATCTGAACACTTCTCATTACGTCATCTTATAATAATTTTTATAAATGTTATCTCACTATCTATATTTTTCTAATCATTGACCTATTTCCGATTATGTAACGTTGATTTGAGCCTTTATTATTCTTATAAAAACTAGTACACCTGTCATCACACTATCTATTTGTACTTTTCACATATTATGTAATCGTTTTATTCATCGTTATCATTGATTTATAAACCACCTTGATTGGTTTAATAATTTCGTATATGCATATAAATATTACTGTATATTAGAGTAAAGCCGGATGAGGATCTAATCGAAAACAATATTGTTCGCTTATATATGTTGTTCTAGATTTACATTATGGGAATATTTCAAATTTTAAGAGAAAAACATCTATTGGTTCTAATGGTACTAACGTTAGTGTACCTCAAAGTTTTATTCACAGAAGATTTATGTTACTAAAAGAGGGTTGCTTTGCAAAGTCAAATTATTTTGAAGATAAGTTTTATTAAAATTATAAGTATGCGTTTAATCTTGATTTCAGACTTTTAAACAAATTCAATTTTAGAAGGTTTGAGAGGAGATGAATTCTGATGGCCGATGGTTCCCAGCTTCAGTTGATAGCGTACATGGTCAGAAGTCCCAAATTACGATGAAATAATTGTTAAGCGGCCCATTTAACGGTATCGTTTTGGAACAGCACGATAGTCCTGTAGAGCATTCTTTCATACCACGACACTATGTCATACGCCAACCACATATCCGCTCTTTCCAACAAGTCTCAGCGTTGGCAAATAATTCTCTAGGACGACATTCGTAATGCATATACAAGCCACCGAAGTCGCTGTTTCAAGATGGTGACACCAACTGGATTGTTGTCACTGCAATCGGACACACATCCCCGAACCTCTGTGTTTCTAGCATGGTGTTGCCACTAAATATCAGCAATCTTTAGAGACAACGATAGTCACTTAAAATTCTCAATTCGGAAGCCAGGTTTCACAACCATACAGCAGAACGCGTTTTAAACCCAACCTTTTACAACAAGACCAGCATCATGAAGGCACCAAAGATGCCCCAATTTGAGATAAGACACTCTGTATTTCACTATACGTAAATTAGTATCATCACCTGAACTTAAACAGCTACCCGAATTCACGGACTTCTCGACTACGTCTAACCGCCCACTTCCAAGAGTGAGTGCAGGTACAAGTTCCTGTCAGTCCCGTAGATGTGTTTTGCACTTAGGTGCAGAGCACGTACCATACCTACAGACACTCCCAACCAAGTGCGAATCGTATGGCATGGGTATCCTCGCACAGTAAGACTACATCATCCACATACTCAACGTGGAAGTCTTTCTTCAGGTAACAGATACGCACCACTACTACATACTTCTATCAGAGCTGTTTCTAGAATGTGACTTTAGGCAGTTGGACATGAATAGTGAGATTGGGCAACTCTGTCTAACTCAACTACTCGGATGGAGTTAGGTGGGGAGGTGGTTGTATGCCTTCACAATGACTGAGGTGTTTCTACACAGTGTCTTCAATATGTTAATGAGCTTCACAAGCACACCCTTCTTCAAAAAACAGTCACAGAGGACATTCGTTTTCAACAAGTAAACGGCGACCCTAATATCAGGGAAAACAACGTTGCTTCGCCTTCAATAAGCACGGCAGTGATCTGACATTTAGCGGAGCATGAACATATGATCAACACTTCGTGTCATATTTGCTTCGGACCAACCGACTTCTAGTTCTTCCATCTGTTTACCTGGGTTAGTGAACTTTAGGCGATCAAGTTCTCGACTATCAATCGAAGGAGTGACAATAATACCGTCCGGATCGTCAATATGATTTTTACTAACCGGACTGCAATTTCGGTGATCTCCGGAACAGGATTTACGAGCTTTGGAAATCCGTTTAGACGATAACTGAAGTGGTAGATTCCCTGATGGCGAAGGAAATTCCTCATTGGATGCCATAGTCCTAAAAAGTGAAATAAACACGCATTAAAGTTTCTAACAGATCCTGAAAATAAAAAACATACATATGGCTAACTTACAACTAGTACTTGACTAGATTAAGTTTCGAAATAGAAGAAACGTTATTTCAATATCTTGGTGACAATATCAAAGCAGGATCAGCTAAAGGCTCCGACTGCTGATTCACATAAACTTATTCACGAGAAATCTGATAAGACAAATGAACCAGCTTTACTTGTTAGGTTGGCAATATTCAATCCAAATAACCTGATGCTTCTCTTAGTGCAAAATATACTCGTTTAACAGTGAATAATCCTGTTGCTAAGTCTTTAGTGGAAGGAATTGAAGAATACCGAGTGTACGAAATCTTGAAGTGAAGTTAAACCGCGAACTGAAACTTTAGTCAACTAAATGTTGGTCATTTACAGTACACAGAGGTTAAGAAAACAGGATTAATCGTATTCGACTAAGAGAAAAACAACATATATAAGCGAACAATATTGTTTTCGATTAGATCCTCATCCGGCTTTACTCTAATATACAGTAATATTTATATGCATATACGAAATTATTAAACCAATCAAGGTAGTTTATAAATCAATGATAACGATGAATAAAACGATTACATAATATGTGAAAAGTACAAATAGATAGTGTAATGACAGGTGTACTAGTTTTTATAAGAATAATAAAGGCTCAACCTCTGTCTATCGTATTCGACCCGATCTATGGTGATTCCCCAACTGAAGGACAAGTTACCTGGTTACGCCACTTCTATGTGTATCTACGAATTCAGCTGCTCCTGCGGAGAAAGCTATATTGGGCGCACAACCAGGCAACTGAACCAAAGAGTTAGTGAACACCTCCCATCGTGGTTAGGAAAAGGTTACGTAAAGACAATACGCAGCTCAGTTCTTTCACTTAATCGATAGTGGTCATGTAGTGGACAGAAATAAGTCATTTAAAGTTATTTATCGTATTCCCACTAATTTTCCCTATGGTGTTCGATCTCGTCTCTTACACATAGCAGAAGCTATAGGAATTCGGGCCAACAAGCCGAGTCGTTGTGTTCAGAAGAAATTTGTAACACCCTTATCTCTCCCTTGGGCTTAATAAATGAATTTATTTATTATTTTCTTTTCAAACCTTCTCTTTGTTTATTAATTCTTCTTCACCCCCTCCTACTATTTTATTTTTATTTTTTCACGGTTCAATTATCTGAACACTTCTCATTACGTCATCTTATAATAATTTTTATAAATGTTATCTCACTATCTATATTTTTCTAATCATTGACCTATTTCCGATTATGTAACGTTGATTTGAGCCTTTATTATTCTTATAAAAACTAGTACACCTGTCATCACACTATCTATTTGTACTTTTCACATATTATGTAATCGTTTTATTCATCGTTATCATTGATTTATAAACTACCTTGATTGGTTTAATAATTTCGTATATGCATATAAATATTACTGTATATTAGAGTAAAGCCGGATGAGGATCTAATCGAAAACAATATTGTTCGCTTATATATGTTGTTCTAGATTTACATTATGGGAATATTTCAAATTTTAAGAGAAAAACATCTATTGGTTCTAATGGTACTAACGTTAGTGTACCTCAAAGTTTTATTCACAGAAGATTTATGTTACTAAAAGAGGGTTGCTTTGCAAAGTCAAATTATTTTGAAGATAAGTTTTATTAAAATTATAAGTATGCGTTTAATCTTGATTTCAGACTTTTAAACAAATTCAATTTTAGAAGGTTTGAGAGGAGATGAATTCTGATGGCCGATGGTTCCCAGCTTCAGTTGATAGCGTACATGGTCAGAAGTCCCAAATTACGATGAAATAATTGTTAAGCGGCCCATTTAACGGTATCGTTTTGGAACAGCACGATAGTCCTGTAGAGCATTCTTTCATACCACGACACTATGTCATACGCCAACCACATATCCGCTCTTTCCAACAAGTCTCAGCGTTGGCAAATAATTCTCTAGGACGACATTCGTAATGCATATACAAGCCACCGAAGTCGCTGTTTCAAGATGGTGACACCAACTGGATTGTTGTCACTGCAATCGGACACACATCCCCGAACCTCTGTGTTTCTAGCATGGTGTTGCCACTAAATATCAGCAATCTTTAGAGACAACGATAGTCACTTAAAATTCTCAATTCGGAAGCCAGGTTTCACAACCATACAGCAGAACGCGTTTTAAACCCAACCTTTTACAACAAGACCAGCATCATGAAGGCACCAAAGATGCCCCAATTTGAGATAAGACACTCTGTATTTCACTATACGTAAATTAGTATCATCACCTGAACTTAAACAGCTACCCGAATTCACGGACTTCTCGACTACGTCTAACCGCCCACTTCCAAGAGTGAGTGCAGGTACAAGTTACTGTCAGTCCCGTAGATGTGTTTTGCACTTAGGTGCAGAGCACGTACCATACCTACAGACACTCCCAATCAAGTTTTTTTTAAATTATTAGTTTGCGTTTAATCTTGATTTCAGACTTTTAAACAAATTGAATTTCAGAAGTTTTTAGAGGAGATGAATTCTTATGGCCGATGGTTCCTAGCTTCAGTTGATAGCGTACATGTTCAGAAATCCCAATTGTTAAGCGGCCCATTTAACGGTATCGGTTGGGAACAGCATGATAGTACTGTAACTTGCTGACTTGAAACAGCTTTTATGGTCCGTGAAATATCACTGAGTTTCAGCCTAATCATCCGGCAGTTGGTCAATCAATTCGCCAATCTCGGTCAAGTTGAAGGACGTGCAACGCGCACCAGTTAATCGTATGCCATGAAGTGGCCCATGCGGTGGTGGTCTCATTATCTTTTTTACACTCAATCTTACTAATAGATTCCCGTAATAACGTCCATTGTGTTATACAGTCTTCAAATCAGTCATATTACTTTGAACGTCAAAGGGCAATCAACGTTAGGTGTTCACCGCGAAGTGTGATTTCGAAGTCAGCTTTTGGTCGCACCATTCCCGCCTAACTCGATTAGGCTCTCAGTCATTCAGACCATCTAAATTAGTGATCTATATGCTTATAAGTTAATCGGAATTAGAAGATACACTGCGGAGTTACAACTTTGACAAAATGTTTAGTTGAATACTATAATGCGTAAAAACTTTATGTGGAATCTGTAGGACGTAATAATGTGGAACAAATGCTAAGAAGTGAATCACGTATTCGGGAGATTAATGGTGATGTCAAACCAATAATTATGACGATAATAATAATAATACAAGTACGTGTGAATAAAGATATGAGACAATTATTTTTGACTGAGAAATTTTCAAATACATCAGTCAAATGAAGCCATTAAATATCTAAGGTTACCATTGAGTAGTTGACCCTAAGATTGACCGAGTCAGGAGAGGCGGTTGAAGATATTTCTTTTGTACATACAGCTTCCGCGGTAAAAGAATTACTGAATCGACAAACAATTCAAAAAGATTGGCTTACACTGGCACTTTGACCAATTTGCACCAAACGGTCTGAAATCGAGCTGTTCACTTTCTTTACTAGACCTTAGCTTAGCCACTTTGGCTAGATGTAAAATGTAATTTCCTAGAAGAAGCTCCGCAAGAGCAGTAGAATGGATAGATAAAAAATAAAGTGGTCATTCTAGATAACTCATTTTTTAGCCTGTTTTAATAGTCCACTTTAAAAATGAGTTTGGTTGAAAATTCTATAAACATGATGGGCAGTTGTTAATTATTAGAAAACAAAATTAACCTTATGGATTACTGTCAATTAGAGCGTTACCCACGTGCGCTAAGTTAAAATTTAATATGCTTATTTGAGATACTGAACTTTGGAACGCATTTTTATATAAATCATACAATGAGCTCGACATTTTCAAAGGTGGTGAATCAATTTCGAAATAATCCTATATCCCTCAAAACTAGTTAATTTTAACTACACTATGTGATTTTTAGAAGTAATCTTGCCAAAGTCAACTGACAGAATCCTAATGGAACTATTTTAATGCCAGGTATTTCAGTTATCAAAATAAACTTAATATCACAGTTGCCGGTAACTTTTTGAGTTCAAAAGCACTTGCATTCTAATGATGAATTTCTTAAGTTGTACGTTCCATGATCCCATAGTCTTTATACAAGAAGTGTACAAAAGTGCACAAGCAAGTCGCACTTCCCTTACGTCTAGTCTAATGATGAAAACCAATTTAAACCTGGATATCTTTCGTGAACACATCAAGTAGGTAATCACGGATACAAGCAAAACGTCAGCATCCTTATCATTTTGGTCATCAAACTCGGTAAAGCTGATGAACGCATCGAATAAAAACCACAACCTGCCGAAAATCATTCTAGAATTCTGCTTAGACAAACCGTACGGTAACAAAACAAAAGTATTCATTAGGAAAACGAAAGGGCACATGATACTTTTAATTTAAACTTGTACTTATTGCTTCAAGATGTTGGTACCAATTAGGCAATTTTCACTGTAGTTAAACACATCGCCAAACATCTGCATTATCAACGCGAAATCGTCACTGAACATCAGAATTGTTTAGAAACGACGGTTATCAAACACAAGGATTTGCTTCTCATCCTTACGTCGGAGGTTAGGTAATATAAGAATAGAGTGAACTTTTCTCTCCAAAGCTCTGTAAATCCGACGTATCTCATACCTACGGACACTCCCAACCAAGTGCGGATCGCATGGCATGGGTGTTCTCGACAGTCCTAAAAAGGCCCGAAAGTAAATCTTCTGGGTTTTAAGACTTATGGTTCTTCGGAAGCTGGAGTTCCATGAAAACTTCTGAATCGCTAGGAGAATCAGTCGTCGTCGGCAATGGAACACAAGACGGTTTGACCGATTCCGCCAGGGCAGCAGACAACCTGAACTGTTTCCCGAAGAACTAAGTCCATCTCCTAAGACATTGGTGGGTGATGTTGATTGACACCCTATCATATGTTTCATATGTTATTTCCCTCATACC